TATAAGTTACTATATACTAATTTTTTAAAATTAGTTTTTTAATTTTATAATCTAGTTAGATATTAGAATATTTATAGAGATTATTTTTTAATAGTAACTTTCTTTTTTATCTCTAGAAAACCTTCTTTAGAGTTAAAATCTCTGTTTTTAGAAAAAAGATAAGGAATTTATATAGAGTATAGAGTAATAGTATTATAAATAAAAACCTTTATTAAACTATAGGAAGTTATATATAAGATAGAGAGATATATCTACTTATTAATCTAATAAGAACTAATTTTACTTTATTAAAATAAAGTTCTAAATAAAGACTTTTATAAACTCTCTAGTAAATACTTTAGTATATATATATATTTATTTTATTAATTAGAAATACTCTTTTAATAATTATTAATAATATTATCTATATATTTATTATTATTAATTCTATAATACTTATATATTAATAATAACTTATATTATATAGTTTATAATAATCTAATTATATTACTTAGAATAATATTCTAATTAGTTTAATTCTAATTTACCCTAGATTACTATTTAGTATAAGTTACTAACTATTATAAATAGATAATATAGTATACTAAGATATAGAGTAATTAAGTTTTCTAAGCCTTATAAAACAGAGAGGTTTTAAATAATAAAGAGGTATAAGATAGGAAAATCTTAAGCAGGGTCTAGGGTAGGTCTGCTTTAGGTAAGTTAGATAATAAAAATTAGCCTTTATTATCTTTAATCCGGGCTAAGCTTAAACAAGTAACCTTCAGGTTATATAAAGGCTTTAGTATTCTCCTAATTTGCTTTAGCTTATTATAACCTTCCAGCTAGCTAAGATACTTAACTATTATATTATTAGGCCCTATATACTAATTAAATAATAAGATATTATTTTATATAATAAAAATATTACTATATATATAAAGTTAATATTATTATATTAGATCTCTATTAGCTCTATTAATAGCTCTAAATATTATATTTAGTTATTATTTTTTACTAAATATATATTAGTAAATTATAAAAAAACTCCTTAAAATAATCTAAATTTTAAACTTTATATTTAAATAATAATAATTATTATAAATCTAATTAATCTCTTATTAGTAATATAATATTATATTATATAAATGCTTCTTTTATTTCTATAAGATTATATAAGAAATCTAGGTCTAGTTAGCTCTTAATACTATAAGAATAAAATACTATTTTAATTTTCTTATTTATATTTCAAATCTATTATTACTTATTAGATTATAAAATAGCTAGCTAGTATTAAAATAGTAAAAGAAGCTATAAGTACTTAAAATTAATAGTTATTATCTTTTAAGTTTCTAGATTAAGTAATATATTTTTCTCTAATATATATCTATATATATTACCCCTTTTTAATAAATAGCCTTTAAATATTATACTTCCCTTATATAACTCCAGGCCTTGCATTCAAGTGATAATATTACCACAGAGCCAACTAATTTCTCGCTAAGCCTTCCTAGGCCTTATCCTCTTCTGGCCCCTTTCCGTCGGCGTGCTGACCGAGCTGGGCACTACTGGTGTCGATGCCCGTCCTGGTCATGTTTTGGCTGGTCAAGGCCGGGTGGGAGAGCAACTTTGTCCACGGACGCCCTTGGGTTTGATTTCGCAAGGAAAGGAGTTTGAGATTGTTTTCATGCGCTGCATTGCTTTCGGTTTATCTTTGGGTCTTGTCACAATTGGCATTTTACAAGCGCAGCATTGTTAAGCGACGCTAGCGATTATTTAGCGCAAGTTGGAAGTTTGGAACCAATGTTCAGGGGTTTTGTGGGGTGTAAATTCTGTTGGGTGTATACCGTATAAATTCGCAAAATTCGGGCGAGACGAGCCCCGCTAAATTGAGTGCAGCTGCGAATCGATTTCCTCTGTTCAGCACACTGTGAACATATTATAGCCCGTAATTTACTATAAGGAGTTTAGACGCTCACGGTAACCCACGATTTATGGGGCTCGTCTCGCCCGAATTTTGCGAATTTATACGGTACCTCTAATGGCGAAACGGGATCATCTCATTCTTGAGCGATGCAAACGGTGGAAAGTATGGATATAGCGAGCATTGCGATATATGATCGATGATATAATTCACTCATCAGCGCGTCGTAGAATCAAGAGTGTGATAAAGGTAGAAGCAATTGCACTTCAACATTTGATGTCGTATATTTTGAAGGCTTGATAACCAGTTGGTTTGAAAAGATCATTAATATAAAGTCTAGCACACGAATTCCATACAGGATTGCATAGCGCGTTACGAATGCAAAAAGATTGGCAAAGACCTGCTACTATATTAATCACCATCTAGCCTGCCCCTACTGCTCTGATCTGATGGTGACCTTGGAGCGGGAGAAGTCACACGTCACCCTGCAGTCCCCCTCTGTGGCAAGTCTACTGCTTGAATACCTTAGACATGGAACTCCCCGCTGAGGGGCGCTGGTTAGTCATATGCTTAGAGAAGGGCATTTTTCAAACAATCGACAATACTGCTTCCAGACTCCGCCGTGGTCGAGAGACAAGTTAACGCCCCGCCAACAGCAAAAGGACCAAGCGCCGCGACGCAAAGCGGAATGTCCACGATAAGCTTCGCTGCATCATCATTCGCGAGGTTGGAGCATGCGGGGGGCAACTCTGCGATGCAAGTCTCCTTGAAGGCATTCAGGAGACAATTGACAATATCGCTGCCTACTGAACTGACGGAGATGGAGGTAGTGACTAAGCACTGCGCTGCGTTACCTACGCCATATGCCCCAAGGGAGGCAAGGCAGGTTGGAATGGCTGTAATGAGCCCCAGCCCATTGCTGTTCTGAAGACCACTGCAAGTTGGAGGGAGCTGAGTAACGCAGGTCTGTCCCCCGGTGCTCGGGGTACAAGAGTCACCACCCCCATTGCTCGATCCAGGCGATGAAAGGCCGAGGGCCGTCTCGAGGCAGCCAACGACTCCTGTGCCGGTTGAAGAATCGGTAATTGAAGAGGAAGAGAGGCAGGTGAGAGCTGAACCAACTGCAAACGGGCCTAGCTTCAGTGTACATATAGCAAGATCTGGTACAAGAGCGAGTCCGGTCTTGCTCTTCAGGTTTTCGCATTCCTGGGGGAGGGTATTGATACAGCGGCCCTCAAATGCGGTGGTCAGACAGTTGGTAATATCACTTCCGGCAGTAGATATATTGATACTAGACGTAGTCAGACAAGTCGCGACGTTACCAACAGCAAATGGGCCCAGCGCCGCAAGACACAAGGGAACAGCCGGGATGAGAGCAAGTCCTTTGAGGGACTCAATTTGGCTACAAGCTTGAGGAAGCGCCGTCACGCAAGCCGACTGAGTGGGAGAAACGGTTGGAACGCAGCTGGTGGGTGGCGGCGTTCCAGAAGGCAACGTGCCAGAAGGCAGTGTGTCGGAAGGCGATATTCCAGAAGGCAACGTGCCAGAAGGCGATATGCCGGAAGGCAACGTGCCAGAAGGCAATATGCCAGAAGGCAGTGTGTCGGAAGGCGATATTCCAGAAGGCAGTGTGTCGGAGGGCGGTATTCCAGAAGGCAACGTGCCAGAAGGCGATATGCCGGAAGGCAATATGCCAGAAGGCAGTGTGTCGGAAGGCAATATGCCAGAAGGCAGTGTATCGGAAGGCGATATTCCAGAAGGCAACGTGCCAGAAGGCGATATGCCGGAAGGCAATATGCCAGAAGGCAGTGTGTCGGAAGGCGATATGCCAGGACGGGAACTTGTTCCAGTGAGCCCATCACCGCCACCACTTCCGGTGCCCGCGCCTGCGTCTGGGGAAGAGGTGGGGTTTGAATTCTTTCCCGCTTCAAGGTCACCACCAGGACCCAGTCCTTTACCGTCACTAAACCCAGGAATATCCCCGTCCCCAACCACGACAATCGGAGAACTACCAGGGATAGGCTCCCCGCTAGGCCCTGTAGGCAAGAGTGTTCTTATTGGTGAGCTGGAATCACTACCAGGTAGTGTAATTGTTGAAAGGTCTTTATCAAACCCCGGCGTACCGATAACAACAGCAGAGGGCTCTCCAGGACGTTGAGGAGGTAGGGTTACCCTTGGGCCATCAAGCTCAGCTCCGGGGAGTATAATTGTCTTGAGCCCATCAGGGCCCAGTCCGTTACTGTTACTAAACCCAGGAACATCCCCGTCCCCAACTACAACGATCGGAGAACCGCCAGGAATAGGCTCCCCGCTAGGTCCTGTAGGTAAGAGTGTTCTTGTTGGTGAGCTGGAATTGCTGCCGGGTAGTGTAATTGTTGAAAGGTCTTTATCAAACCCTGGTGCACCGATAACAACGGTAGCGGGCTCTCCAGGACGTTGGGGAGGTAGAGTCACCCTTGGTCCGTCTAGCTCAGCCCCGGGGAGTATGATTGTCTCCAGTCCATCAGGGCCGATGTAGGCGTTGGCGGTTGGCTCAACTGGCTCACAAATGATGACGGTGCCTGTACAGACAGCACATTCCGGGTGAACAGTTGAAACAGTAGGGTATGGACCGTAGCCCTTCTTTGTTGTCATTGTTACAAACTCGGCATCGTTCGGCTCATAGTGAATAACTGTGGCAGGGCAATCGCTGCATGCAGGAGCAATGGTCTCGTTCCAGCCCTCAGGGGCATGAGTTGGCAGTGTGAGAGTAACTGGGGGCGGAGTGGAACAAGCGGTGGCCTGAGCATTGGTCTGTGGCGGGCATTGGTTGTAACACGCCCCGAATTCCAGGTATATCATACTGGTAACCTCAACAGTAACGATATCTGGGTATTGCTGATATCCGGGTTCCCCAGCTAGTGCACGACCAGTTAGGAGCGATGCCAGGCCAGCTGTCCAAGACATGGCTTGAGTGAGATTGATGCCTTTTGCAATTCTGATCCACATCTCCTATGAGGTGTTCTATGATTAGGTGACTAGAAGCAAGTAAATGATGGTTGATGTGTGCAAACTAAGGCTATTGGACATCTTGGGGATGTTGAGCAGTGTTTAAATAGTCTGGATGGAGCGTCCTGAATCTGCACCTGGAAAGGAGAATAACATTGCATTCCAAAAAGTGAAGGGTATAATTTCCAGTAGCCTGTCCTTGGAATCCGGCTTCGAAAGAAAGGCAATATCACAGCTGCGTAGAAGGATGTTCCAGTCCTTTCCTCCCTTGCTGTGGTTCAGTTCAGCTCTCTTCTCCCATTTTAAGATATAGTAAGATTAAAACCTAGCTAGAGCTTAAGCCTTCGCTCTCAGATTCTTGACTTACGTCAACGACACCTTCAAAAGCTCGAAGAGCAGCCGTTACGGGGGCGCCAACGAGGGGAACCTTCGAAAGAGGTGCCGCCTTTCTGATAATAATATTGAGAAGAGCCTGATGTACTTCGATAAACTAGAATAATTAGTCATTTGCACCAACTTATTCGAAAAACATACTTTTGTTAAAGCAATGGACACGGCAGCCGCATCACATTCTGCATCAAGCGGCCGAAGATTGCCGAGAATTCCAATGTCCTTCGTTGTGGCAGCAACAATCTTTCCGAAGCCGGCAGGGACAGCCTACTCATGTCGTTAGGATCAATCCGAAAATCATGGCCACTTCATCAAACTTACTGTAATCGCACTAATAGAAGTGGCAGATAGGTCGTTGGCAGGGCCTTGGAGATCCTAAGATAGCTCAGTAGTTTCATTTATGACATCAACGATGCTCTGAGCAGATTCTGCAACCTCTCCAGTAGCACATTCTTTGGGCTGAGTGCAAGATTTGAGGCCCTCCTGGGCCTGTCCCAGCGTCTCGCTGAGCTTGCCCACCTCAGACTTGGCGCATTCCTTTTGGCTGGGAATCAGATCAATGATGGCATTGGCCAGCATATCAACGACACTTTTCAAAGTGCGCAGAACACCGGCCACGGCGGCACCGGCAATAGGAACCTGTTCGAGAATCTGATTCTCGCCAATAACAATGTTGAGCAGGGCTTGGTGAACTTCAACGAATCTCCTAAGAGCGATATAAATAGCGGTAGCATCGCATTCAGCATCGAATGGCTCCAATTTGTCTAGGAGGCCGATATCTGACGTGACAGCGGCAACGATGCCGGCGAAGCCTGAAGCCACGTTGGGTTGTTAAGGAGCTTGGCAGGTTCTTGAAGGGCCTCTGAGAGTTGAATAATTTTGTTGATGGCGTCGACTACGGACTGCGCCGATTCTGCAATCTCACCAGCAGCACAAGCAGATGAGGGGCATTCGCGGCTGGGTTCTTCGGGCTGGGAGGCATTGCTCGTGGGAGACGTGGGACTAGTCTTGGTGGCCGTACTGCCGCCGCCCGGGATAGAAGCAGAACCGACGATGGGAATTTATGAGACAAGCTGATTGCCGGTACCTTGTAGTATCTTATGATAGGCAAATCCTTTAGATAGTACTAGCTACACGTCCGCATACCACCAAAGACGTGCGAGGAATGACTCGAGCGCTTTTCCAAAGGAGGAAGAGTTTCAAGTCGGGTCGGGCAGAACTAATCACCGAGGTCTTCGAATTAATTTGCACATTTTTACGCCGGGTGCCGGCAAGGCCCCAAAAAGAACGGCACCATCTGTTGAACGGCGGAGTTCCGGCGTGCTGCACTTATGAGTGTTCATCGGATAGTTGGTAGTAGTCGCAAGAATGGTACCGATGCCGATCGGTATATTTATATGTGGCTGGGGAAAATGCACGTACGTCCTGGCACGTGTATCATTCTACTTCTTCAATGGTCCTACCTGGTATCACCTAAAGGTATCCTATACGTGTTGCTAAATCTATCTCTTCATTCTGAATAGCTTCGTTGCTATGACTTAACAGAGGCCTCCTGACATACACCCCCGAGCTTAATCCCTTAATTCACAAGATCCCATCAAGATTCTACACCACAAGTTGGTTATTCTCGATTCAAAGCTAACAACTAACATACAGGACAACGTAGCACGGGGATATCGGAGAGATACTATGTTGATGCATAGAACTCGTCGTGTTAGCATATTCTCAGGGCTCCTACTTGCCGTGTTGTGTCTAGGACTTGTAAGCCCAATAAACAAAGATCAGGCTTGATATCTGCGATGTTAATATGTACTTAAATTGAACAGGACCGCTCTATTCTCGCAATAGCCATTCCAAAAATCACAGCAGACTTTAATCCGCTAGAAGATGTAGGCTGGTATGGCTCTTCCTACCTTCTAGCAGCTTGCTGCTTCCAACTTTGGTTTGGAAGGCCATATGCCGAATTCAACAACCTTGGGTCTTCCTCGTGGCCCTTGGTATATTTGAGGCAGGATCAGTTCTTTGTGCTGCGTCATCTTCACCCATGCTCATAATTGGTCGCGCGGTAGCCGGTCTCGGTGGCGCAGGTGTACTCTCCGGGTCCATGATGATCGTTGTACGGATCTCACCTCCAGGCCAAAGACCAATTTTCTCTGGGGCTACGGGGGGGCCTCACTAGTTGCCCAGATCATCTCCCCGACGCTTGGAGGTCCGTGTTCGATTCATCATCTATCTAGAACAGATACTAAACTATAACTAGGCGTTTTCATGGATAGAGTATCACGGCGTTGGTGCTTTTGGATCGACCTTCCCCTCGGAGCTATCACAGCCGCGGCTATCATTTTTCTCTTGGAGCTACCTGATAACCCACAAAGAAAAAAACTACTCCCAGCGAGACCAGCGGCCTACCGGCCAAATTAGACTTATGGGGCAATTTTAATATTATTATAGCCCAGGTTTGCTGTATATTGTATTCGGTATTCTCCATTTAGAAGGCCTGTGAAAATTTCAAAGGTTTCTCTATATTGCTCAACGGGCTTTTCTGTTCAGTGATGAAGACCTCCCCGCCCAATATTTAGCCAATCGGCCCTTTTCCAAACTGCTGGCTTCACCCATCAGATGGCTGCTGACATTGGGCTTGCAAGGATCTCGGATACCAAAATGACCCTGAGTAGCATCAAAGCCTGCTGACATAACGATTCATGACGTATCGTAGCCAGCACATGATATGCCTTCGTCCTAGCAACGTTTCATCAAATAAAGCCGCAGGTGCCCTAAAGTAGTATTCCAACATCACGTGTAATTACCAAAACTTGGAGATGTCGCACCCTCTTTCAGACGACTCATACCCCTCAAGTTGCCTCGACAATCTAGGACATATGCAGGGACCATGTTAGGTTGTGTTGGCAAATGCAAGCCACAGATCTTGCTCGTATTTTTCCTTGCCTGAAAAAATTATACCCTCCATATCTTCAAAAGCCATTATGCTTAACCCACCTTCTATCTAAGCGAATGGAAAGGATGGCATTTTATATAATGTTTGCACGGGGAACTAAGAAGCAACCGACGTATCTTGTGCCCACCTTCCAAACCTAGCCCAGGTTGTATCATTATCTATTCTGTCTAAGCTTGACCTGGTCGGCTGGACGTACTCCCCCAGCCTTTCTTTGTCCAAAACAGACGCTGGCTTAGTCCACTGGCTTTCCAAGTCGGCCGCAGCCGATCATGCTGCTCTGTCTTCAGCCACATCCTGAGCGCTCATGTGCGCTACCCCATGTCTGAAAGCCTAATATGTCTTTCACTCCTCAGTTTGCCGCGTCACATACCTCTCGCCCATTTTTCCCATGATATCTCTTCTCTACCGAACACCTTCCCCTTAGAAATCCAAAGGCAGCTGCCACGGATGTATGATGGCTTGCTTGTCTCTAGCAGGGCTGGTGAATACAATTTCTGCTCATTCCGCTGTTGCACAAGATCTTTCGTCACGTTCAAGATGGATGAATGAACATGATGAGTCTTCTTGCCTTGAATTACCAGGCGTCCAAGAATCCCAAGACTGTTCAGAATGTCTCATAGCCAGAGTCTGACTGTAAATTTACACCTATTTAAGAGCATCATGAACCCATCCCCAAGAGCTAGATCTCATCTTTATCTGCACATACAAATAGTTTACTTACGATCCTTATCATAAATACAGTCTGCCTAACCGGCTTTTATAACTCACACTCCTTCATTCAAGATTAATCAAGATGGTTCGTCTTGATCTCGCATTCGTCCTTTCCCTTGCCAGCGTGGCTACCGCCTGGGACTCGCCAACCTACTCGGGCTTCACCCGCGTCTGGCAGGACACCTTTCCTGGCGCTTCCGGTGCCACCCCCAACGAGGGCAACTGGAACATCATCACCGGCGATCTGGGCGTTAACAACGAGCTGCAGGTCTATACCCGCTCCAACAGGAACGTCCAGATCAGCGGAGGCAACACGCTCCAGCTGGTCCCATGGAGGGATTCTTCCCAGGCTAAGGGATGGACCTCCGGCCGTATGGAGAGCAAGTATACCTTTACTCCTCAGAACGGCAGGATCACCCGTCTCGAAGGCCAGCTTCGATTCGGCGACGGCGCCACCAGCGCTAAGAAGGGCATCTGGCCAGCTTTCTGGATGCTCGGTAACGCTCTCCGCACTGGTGGAAGCTGGCCATCATGTGGTGAGATCGACATCATGGAGACCATCAATGGCCAGCTGACTGGTTACGGAACCGTTCACTGCGACGTCTATCCCGGCGGCATCTGCAACGAGGGATCTGGTATCGGTGGTAGCACTGGTATTCCCGACCAAGGCTGGCACACATGGCGTGTGGAGATTGACCGCAGGGACGGCAACTGGGTCAACCAGAGAGTCACCTGGTACCTGGACGGCAACCAGTTCCACCAGGTCACTGGATCCCGCATCAACAATGCAGGTGTCTGGGCTGCCATCGCCCAATCTCCTCTGTACTTTATTGTCAACGTGGCTGTCGGAGGAAACTGGGTAAGTGACATTCTCTTTGCTTCTAAGATAATAGATAGAGTACAAACTAATCTGCCTCTTCCAGCCCGGATACCCTGACGGCAGTACCGTCGATGGCTACCCCTCCATGCAGGAGATTGCTTACGTCGCCCACTACGTCTCCAACTAACAGAGCTCACGCTTTCTTTTTCTGATCAACTTACATTCGCTACACTCCTTTTACCACTGAGACTTTCTCACCATCACACTCGTTTGTCTGCTGCTCTTCAACGAGGACCATCAGTGCCCTCATCCTGGACTGGCCCGCCTGCCAGAGTATATACACTATCTACGGGTACAAAGATCCTATGATACCATGTACATATGGGACTCGGAATGGATATAGAAAGTGTTTTTATTATAGACTTGCATATATCATGTACATAGCATCTAATGCTATATTGTCAGTCGCTACCGGTTGATATTAGGCATTAGCATTCGATATCACAATAGATTCATTTAAAACACCATCACTTGAGACCTATCCTTTGATTTGAAGTCAACCTATTTTAGCCGGCTCTTCACCAATAGAGGCCCAGTTGCTAAATTGAGGTCATATGAGGTCAATAATTTGATTGATGGGCTGGGTTCTTCAGACAAACGAATATCCTTGGCGCTGGCAGTCGCCAAGAAGCCCTACAAATCGTCGCTTAACATTCTCGCACATGAAAGGACAAGTTTCGCAATTACCATAAAAAATATTAAGGCGGACAAAAAATTAGTTTCTTCAATCACCAGACCCGTTCATATACTGTTGTAGTTGATCAAGTTCCCGTGGCAAGACTGTCACCAAACGCCTGGATAAAAAACGGCGGGATTGAACATTCACGCCACTTACCGCAATTTAAAAATTAAGCCTAATTATCCTTCGGCATTCAAATTACAAGGGGCCGTAAAATACTGCTGGACAAGGAAGATCTGGAGGCTCAGCTCCGTGCCAACTTCGGAATGTAACCGGCCGAAACAACACCTGAAGCAAAAAGCCCACCAATTATGGAGACAACCTGGCCCCCTATCCCGTACGTTCCTGGGGAAATACGAGGCGAATGCTGTTTTAGACGTCTCGGAGGTCGATCAATTACACTAAAAGCAGTTTCACGGGGTATTTGGCTCGGGTGAGGGAATGTAAAACTCCCGAAGTGGGAGGCCGTCGCTTGTATTTAATCTGGCGGCTATGACATCTTGTTCTGCCCCCTCCCCAAGACCAGACCAATTCAATACGTGAATTGCAAGTGATTCCAACATGAAGGCCAGCACAATCTTCAGCATCGGACTGCAGGCAGTCACAGTTCTGGCTGGATGTCAGGACAATGCGGATGGCTTTGCTTCGCTCAATGGCGGAACCACCGGCGGCAACGGAGGCACAGTCGTGACAGTTTCTACTTTTGATGACTTGAAGAAGTATGCCAGTGCCTCTGGGAAATATGTCATAAAAGTGAGCGGTAGAATCACAGCCTCTCCTTTTGGCTACGAGATCCCCGTCTCCAACGACAAGACCATCATCGGCATCGGATCTACCGGAGAGATTTACCAAGGCGGATTCGGCTTGAAGCCTGCGAACAATGTCATCATCCGTAATTTGAAGATTGGTAAGATTGACGTGAATTGGATTACATGTCTGACCGGCTGCTAACTATATTCGCAGGCAACACCGACGACGGGACTGGGGCTGAAAACGACCGCGACGGTATCCAGGTTGATACGTCTTCTAACATCTGGATTGATCATTGTAGGTCTCGGAATATTTGGATGTCTCTCCTTTTGGTACTAACACCTGTAGGCACGTTTGAGAAAGGCGGAGATGGTCTCGTTGACCTACGCAAGGACAGCACTTACTACACGGTATCGAACAACATCTTCCGTAACCACGACAAGACATTCGGCATTGGTATGTGATATTCAACCATGTTATATCTCTACACTATCCATGTATATAGCAGAAGCTAACGGACTTAACAACAGGCTGGACGGACAATCTGGTCGCACAGGGAACCATCCACCATAATCTCTTCGACGGGACCAACCAACGCAACCCTTCCGCAGACAACCTGAAATACGCCCATCTTTATAACAACTACCTGCGCGGAATCACATCTTACGGCCATTACGCTCGCGGAAAGACCAACGCACGCGTTGAGAACTGCTACTTTGAGAGCTCCAAGAACCCGCTGCAGGCTGACAGCACAGCGACTTTGACAGGCAAGGGGAATGTGTTCAAGAGCTGCACGGGTACTCAAAGCAAGGACCAGGGCACTTCATTCGACCCAAGCAGCTTCTATCAGTACACTCTGGATAGTGCAAATGACGTTCCTAGTAAGGTGCTTGCCAATGCCGGACCACAGGCTAGTGTCTGTTCCTAGAATAGTTACATCAAGGTTGCAATAGCAGTATGAATTCCTTTGATCATTGAAATCATGTATTACTATCCCTAACTGCGTATATGCTCGACTCATTCAAAAAATTATGTGCTATCTTGCTTACGAAGCGAATGAAAACTGACTTCAGGAGGCGCTGAAGTAAAACCGGGCTTGGCTCAAACGTCAATTCCGGAAACGGAATGCCCAATCCAATGTGATGGCATGTGACCTCTCGCTCTGGATCAAACAAAATGAGGCAGACGTCCATGCATGAAATCGTGGCTTTCTTTGCTGAGTCACTCAGAGTGGCGGTGAGTTCTGTGGTTATTGGCAGTTGGGGGGGCTCAATGCAGTGCTCAGCCACCTGAGCCCGTTCTGTTGGTTGGGCAATGATACATTCTGCTTGATTACTGGAGACGCGTCTGTCCATTTTCAACAAACACTATTCCCATTGAGGGGTAGAAGTCGGCCACGATAGCACATCATCCAATGCCGTCAACATGCCATCCGATTCGCCTGCCAGCGAAGGATTCATCCTGCAGCTGCCAACAGAGCTGTTGAGAGACATTATCCGATTCGTGCTTGTGGATATATCAACCGATAAATCGACAGGCGAGTCTCCTCTCTACTACACCAGAGGTAGAGGCCGAGCGCAGGCATCAGCTACTCAAACCCTACTTATCCTCTCCTTGACCTGCCGCAGATTGAGGGAAGCAGCAGATTTGTTCTTGTACCGCACTGTTGTCCTACGAGCAGCTCCATTAGGAAGCGCGAAAAAAGCTCCCACCGTTGATACAAGCATCATCACCATGTCGCTCTTCCTACGAACCTTGTTAGAACGCCCAGACCTCAGGTCCCTTGTGCTGCACATTGAGTGCCAGTTTTTTCTCAGGCTACAAGGCGCTCTTTCACCTGAGACACCTCCAGATGTCTTGCGAAAATTGCGTGAGAAATCCGTCAACATATATGAGCAAGCGACCCAGGGAGCAAGATCGCTATCAGACTTGAACGCAGCTGTCCTTGACTTTGTTGCCTACTCCGGCGATGAAGCACCGAGTGACCTTGGCGAACGATGTCTCGCCGCTATTCTTTGTCTTGTGCCCAATCTCCAGTCTTTAGCCCTCCCCCCTCTCCCTCGCCCTGAATGGTGTGTCTCGGGCTGGGTTGACGACGCGGGTAGCGAGGTCAACGACGATGCTTCTGACTGGGATGATGAAGATATGATAAATGGCGAGTACCAAACACTCAATTCGTTGCTTGGACTGCTCCGCGAATACGACAGTGTTTCGCACAAAGTACTCCACAGGCTGATGCATCTGCGATTCACCTACTGCCCCGGCTATATACCTGACAACTTCTCCAAGATGAGAGAAGGGCTCCTATCACTAAGATATGAATGGCCTCAATACACATTCCGAATCTCGGCATGCATTAATCTTCTTCGATGCCCGAATCTAAAGGAGGTCGTGTTAGACTCTCTCGGAACCCTAAAAGATTTCCACGGAATTCTTCCACGTCTCGCCTCTGCACCAGGATACAACTTCCAACGACTTCACCTCGTAACTTCGTCAAGCACTGAGCTAGCACTGGACAAGATCAGCAACATGCTGCAACTATCCCAGCTTACTGTAAACTGCCCAGACTATGCGCCAATTACCAAGGACCGAGATAAGAGAGCAGTTTCAAGTCGTTCAGGCGGCTATACTGGCCCACCCCTATGGGACTCGGCGTTGACGAAGCTGGGGGAGAATCTGGTTGCTCTTGACCTGCGCAACATCTGCACCTCTCAAGACATGGACTATTTCCATCTGACCTGCCTCAAATCCATGGCCAAGCTGGAGCATCTGTCGATCTGCCTCCCACTCATCAACCCCGTTGAGAAATTCCAATCGCGTCCGCTCCATGCCGTTCTGCCCTGCTCGCTTAAGTCGCTGGACTTGTATGACTGGGCCTGCCACTTTACCAGCAACGGGGTCATCGGCCAACTTAACAAATTGGACCTTTTTACTACTATTGAGCTTCGATTTCACGTACTTGCCGAAGGGGTTTTGCGCATATATAAGAGAGCACTGACAGATATTCTACGCACATTCGGCCTAGCTTGCAAAGCGTCGCACCCGAGCCTGCGGTCTCTCTGCGTATTTGCATTTAAGCCAGAGCCTAGAACATCCTTGTTCGAGGACCTGCCGCCCATGGAAGGGATCAATCCCGACCAGAAAGACATAGAGTGCCTTTTTGAGGCCAACGGGGTCAGGTTCCGGGGATATGTACTTGGAGGTTTTGAGTCATCCCCGTTCCGGGGCGCGTATGCAGAATTGTATGAATAGATACTTAGCTATATTGCCTAGGAGCCTCTTCTTTCGCCGGAGACAGTTCAGAAACAAGATGTGTCTTGTTAAGCAGATACTAAATAGCTACTATCTAGGCGCAAGAATCTTATGTTGGCTGCTTTGAGACACAGAGCAACGGTAAAAGTCACGATATCTACAATGAGGCAACCATCATTCATAAACGCTAGTTTTTAACCGAACGAATTCTTATATCTCGGCGCTCATGAATGTGTGTATTTGAATATCTTCGACCGAAAAACTAATTACGCTACTAGTAAGGCGTCATGTGAAAAGAGATATAATCTTATCGATTGGTTCTTTTTTGTTAGTGGCTTCGCGAAAACATCGTCCTTGACAGATCCTTAGGACCTCCCACGAGAAACCAGACAATGCTAAAGTCAACACACGAAATTGGACACCTCGCTCTCCTGGCAGAGCCCTTCAAGAAGATGGAAAGTGGCAACGAAAACCATGATAACAACGAATCGGACATTAGAAAACGGCAGGCGCTTATAGCTCGAATCAAGGCCGTGTCCTAGACATCGTCGCCCGGAACCGCCACGAAGATCGTCGTTTTTCCTTCCGTTTGGCGGCTTGTTTCGGTACTGAAACTCTCCGGCAAATAGCTTAGCGCGCGGGGAGTTGTGGAGCAGGTGGAAATTTGATCCCTCGCTGTCATGGATTGCTTCACCATCCAGATATGGATGACAAGTGAGAAGAGCTATAATTAGATCACTACTAGGGAAATCAACAAAGCGATTTCAGTATTGATTCATTCTAAAAGGTTCCTACGCTCGTCAAAAGAATGTGTTTATTAGATCTTCCTTCGCAAAATAGCCAATGTCCACAAATATGTAGCATTTATCTCGCATCGCGACCCTTGTTGATTCATAATGCGGATCTAAGTGCCAAAGGATGCAGACCTTGCATTACCAGTTTCATATTGCACGGGGGACCCGGTTTCCAGCATTATCTAGGAATCGGTCATCGACGTTAATTTCTTTCCTCTTTAGATTTGCGAGGTCAAAGCCTAGCTGCCTCGGCACACTGGGACAGCCGCTCGGCACGGCCTGACTTCCAACAGGCTTTCATTCGCTGATAGAGCCGATGAAGGCAATTGACTTGTTTGACTAAGGAAGGGTTATCCAAACAGTCATTCGCCACCAATTAGAATATCCCCGTGGTGCTTGATCGGAGTGGCCGAACAGAACTCCTTGGCGTTGAGCAATTGTAAATATTTAAGGCTTCGATTCGGCGCTTTGCTTTTCTGAATGCGTCGCTACTGCATTCCAGAATCAATCAACAAGTCCTGCGAAAATGAAGTTCTTCCCCGCCGCCGTTGCTCTTGTTGCTAGTGTCGCCTCGGCGACCCCTGCTCCCAGGGCCTTCCACCCAAGCCAGTACAAGAAATCCTTTGCTACTTGCAAGGCTGTGGACAGAGGCGGTGATGCGCCTGTTGATGTGAACTTGAAGCTCGCCTATGTCGACATCAACCCCACGGCAGATAAGACGATTGTCATGGTGCACGGTTGGCCCTCTCTCTGGACTACCTACCGACACCAGATCGACACTCTTGGCAAGGATTACCGTCTGCTCATTGTTGAGTTGCGAGGATTTGGTGATTCAGAGCACCCCAAAGACCTGATCTCTTCCAACTCCATGCTTGATGTAGGTGGAGATTCAATCACTCGGGGCGGACCAAACATACCTATGTCAAGTTGTGCTAATACATCAATCCAGGTTGTTGACGACATCACATGTATCATGGACCAGGCCAACGTTCAGGCAGGTATCTGCATGGGCAATGACTTTGGTGCACAGGTCTGCTGGAGCGCTGGTCGTGCCCGCCCTGACCGATTCATTGGTCTCTTCAACGAAGTTGTGCCTGTAAGTTTCTTCTTCCATTGCATATATATATGACTCATTTCTAACACATGAACGCGCAAAGTACGTCCCTAGCAGCACGGAATTCATCAGTAACGAGGCTCTAGCCTCTTTGGCTCCTGGCTTTGGATACCAGATCTTCCTTTCAAGAGACCCCAAGGTTGCTGCCGCAGAGCTCGACAGTGACCCTCGCAGCGCTATCCGATCGTGCGCTCAGGTCGCCAACAGCACCGTTCCCTCTGACTTCTTGGTTGACCGCGAATCCTTCCTCAATGCGTGGTACAAGGCCAACGAGGAAGCTGGCCGTGACGAGATCCCGTTCTCTGGAATCATGACCAAGGAGGTTGAGGACTACATGGTCGCCTCCTACCAGAAGCAGGGCTTCTACAACAGTATGTCATGCTAATTATTTCGCCATGCGTGCTACTTGGTTTGCTAATTCTCGTCTTCGCCGTAGCCTTCAACGGATACCAGGAACCCAACCGCAAGTTGACTTGGGAGTTCGAACACAACCAGGGCAACTTCACCATCCCCCAGCCCACATTCGCTCTGTATCCTACCAAGGACCCTGTTGCCGATTGGGCGGCCGTAGCCGAGCAGCTTGGATCTGCCCACTACCTGACCAACCACTACACTGCTGTAAGTGAACATGGCACTATTAATGACAGATCGTTTACTAACCTCTTGGTGATGACAGACCCTTGAGACCGCCCACTGGGTTCACGAGGAGAAGCCCGCCGAGTTTGATGCCGACTTCCGCGAGTGGGTTGGCAACGTCACTTGGCCCGGAAACTGAGGTTTTTGACTCGATCATTGCTCGGGAGATAGATGGGTGTGAGTTTTGAATTGCCGTTCGTGATTAGCGCTTGTTCAAAAGTAAAATAGATTTTATAGAGCTTCTTTATATGTGTCAGTGTTTGTTATTAAAAATAGAACTGGTTGTAGTTTCTCGATTGTCTTGATCAACTTTGAACAACGCACGGTAGATGGGCGGCATATTCAATAATAATGTGGGAACCGATGAGATTTCAAACCAACAACAAACTAATATCCAAGAGTTAAAACCCATATTCTGCGATATTGAGCACAAGTTCATACTAATCTCCTTCCTGTTGTGCTTAATGGACACATCGTTGAGCAAATTGGTGAGGTTTTGCGAAGCTCCCGGGTAGGCTGCATTAAGCAGCGCAATATGTACGGAAAGGAGACGCTCTAGGCTCAAAGGGTAGAGGTTCATCACTAGGGAGAAAGAATGCTATGCTTCAAGATGTAAAATTTCATTCCCGCCGCTTTCGCCTGCATCTGGTTTGTATTCCTGTGGGCAGCTTTTGGGATTTTCTAATCTGCCTATCTCCAACTGGGTTTTTGGGGGATACGTGGTGGTTCAGCAAAATGATTCGCCAAATAATGCAAGTTAATGCAAAGTAAGACAGATTTATACAGAGCACAAATATTATGAAAGTATATATTTAGATGAGTCCAGGTTCTAACTCGGCGTTGACTCGATATTTCCCTATTTGAGGTAGGAATCGAAAAGCAGTCTCAATGCAGTGCTTTACCTCAATCTGGGTTTCCCCTTCTATCTAACGCTATGGAAAATGCGAAACTGCTATGGGGAATGTCCGTGAGTTGCAGACTTAGAAAGCGGACATCATGATAGCGGCAGCGCAGATGGCGAAAAGGGTGGAGACGGAACCGGTAGCCGCGTCATTGCTATTAGTGACTGTAGATGTCGCGCTTGTAGCCTGGGCCGCAGTAGAGCTCGTGCTGCTGGTCGTGGTGCTGTTTGAAACTGTAGTACCGTTCGAGGCGTTTGATCCACTCGCTGTGGTGACGAGCGAGGTCGAATTATTGATGGTGAGATTTTCAACCGACACACTCTCGCCCTTGACGACGGTGATGCTCTCATATGAGCCAGAAGTATCGCTGTAGACATACTCGGTGATACTCTCCGTGGCAGAGGAGTTACCGCCTGCGTAGTCGACAACGGACACAGACTTGTACCAGGCCTGGAAAGGAGCCTGGGTGAAGTCAGTAACACCACCAGCCCATTCGATGGTACCCTCAGAGTTGGTTGAGAGGCCGCCAGCCCATGTACCGATCTTGAGCTGCATGGGAGTCTGAGGGAAACGAGTACCTGATTCAGCATCCGCGTAGTTCAGAGTTCGGACCACCACACTGTCAATGAGCCACTCAACCTTTGAAGATGTCCATTCGATTGTGTAGTTGTGGTAAGTCGAAAGCGGCGTAGTCACATCGTGGTATTCTTCACGATCGTAGGTAGTAGTGTCGCCTTTGCCAAAGTAGTTGCTCTCGACCTCGGTGTCCTTCCCGCCGAACCACTCCCAGTCAATCTCATCAAGATCCGCGGACTGCAGTACAACGGATGTGATGATGCCTTGCCCGACAGCTGCCTTTAGTTGAACTTCCACGCGGCCAAAGAAGATGTAACGCGAGGTCGAAAGGGTGGGAGCTTGGGTATCATTCTCGATGGAAAAGAGGGCGCCATTGTCATCGTATGTGATCGTAGTTCCGCTTGCGGCGGTGAAGTCGCTGCAAGCTCCCTGGGTGAAATCACAATCAATAGTTAAGTTGCCGAGGGCCGGAGCGGGATCACAGGCTGGACGTGGGTTAGTAAGTTTGGTTTCTGCTTCTGAATAGCTTGGTCCAACCTACTCTTCTCGGTGGGATTGCAGTCGGTATATGTTTGGGACACGACCGAGGTTGCAAAAATGCAAACCACCGCACCCAAAGACTTGACAAACATTGTTGTAGTCTGTGTGATGTTAAATAAAGTCGAAAGATATAATTGTTGAACGAGTGATCAAGAAACCTTAAGAAGCGAGAGACAGGAAACAAGGAACGCTAATTCTGTGCAAAGATATAGCCAGCCAAGCTTGAGAAGAGATTCAAAAATAAAATATCCTAAATGGAATCGCCAATGGGATTATATATGGGTAGACTAATATCAAAGTGGAGGTTAGCTAAAGTGGAGAGCGTTCGTCACTTGTGAGCCCATGTCTATTTTGGAGGAGGCTGCGTCTTGGGGGGCCATGGAAATATACGAATCACTAAGACGCGAAAGATTTGTTCGTTATCGATAGACAACGAAG